ACTGATTTCTTTAAAATTCCCTTGCCAATTTCCAAGGCAATGGGTGAGATTGCACTGTGTTTGTGTGCACCGTCTATGCAATGACTGATAGAAACAGGAAAAAGACAAGCGGATCACTTTGCCTGCAAAAGTTCAGTTTAGGAAATTGTGATGAAAACCAATACTCCTTGAAATAAAAACAGGTAAAATAGCCGATGAGAAAAGGAAAACGTGTGAACTTATCCAGCTATAGAATCCTTCAGGGATGAAAGACCAAAAGAATAAATGTGGCTCTGATACAAATTTAACCACAATATAAATACTAATCTCTTCATCCCTGGAGAATACTTCTATTATAGGTATTATCATTGAAAGAGGACTTTAATTCAGATATGTCTAATTACACTATAGGTTAATTTGATTAACTAGGAAATCTCCAGAGGACTTTAATATTTCTTACTATTAAATAAGCTTAAATGGTCTAACCAAATTGCTAATGATTGTCTTTTATTACAAAGTAGAAAGTATTTGATGATAAATCTGCTCTTCCTTTGGAACACTAGGACAAAATTATAATTTCCTTTAATATATGGTAAAGATGATAATATTGTGTGTAGTCTATATTTTTTTCCTTGCTAATGTTATCATTCTGTATAGGCACATAAAAACTATTATTAGAATAAAACAAATAATGAAAACATAAATGAGCTTCCTTATTCATAAGTGCAAGTAAGGCTCATTTGCAGTGTTGATAGAGTTAGAAGAATTTTCTTACACTTAGATCATGCTGTTTTAATAGGCAAATACTAGCTTTCCTGTATAGAGTATGTAGATTTTCTGAAAGTGGTTATTTTTCTTTTTAAAAGTGTAGGCATTGGTTTAGATGTAGTGGAACAATTATAACAGTTAAGATTCATTACAGTTGTTTATTATTCTAGCTCTGACTGAGCACTCAAAGAACCTTTATTTGTATGTAGAAGAATGTTATAGCCTATTCCCATCTCTTCCTTCACTCACACCCCTTGTAATTTCCTATTCATTCAGTATTTCTTGTTCAGTGTTTAATAAGATTTTAGCACAGTGCAAAACACTAATGAGAAAAATACCAATAAAACCTACTGCCTTATCTCAAGGAGTTTACAACTCTTTAGATGAAAACAGATGAACACCAATAATTGCAATATGGGAGTCCAGAGGATATACGACTGACTGCATTGAGGTTGCTTACATTTGGAGCCTACAGAAGGTTAGAAATACTCATTGTGATAGAGGGAGAGCAATGTGGAAACACTGGGAAGGAGAATGATATTCATTCACAAGTCAAGGAGAGAGTCCCCAGAATGAACAAACCCTACCAACACCTTGATGTTGACCATCTAACCTCCAAAAAGAGTTTGCCAGAGGGACACTATACCAAGAGAGTTCCATGGCTTGCAGTGAGATTAAACAGCCATGGGACCACAGACACCAGTACAGATTGCAACAGAGGGGACACAGAGGGTGGTCACATTTCATTGACTAGGAGATGTGTGGAGATAAATACTTGGAGGCTATGGTCCAGTCAGCAAGGCTGACTGCTCAGCCAGGGGCCATTGGAAGGTGAGAAGCAGAATCTATGAAGAAAAACATATCTTTGATCAAGATAAAGAGATATGGAGGAGGTGGGGTGTTTCATACAGGAAGGATCCTACAAAAGAAAACAAGAGAGAAGATAGTTCAGATGGAAACATTAAGGAGGTGAGAGGTGAGGAAAGGAAAGAACAAGGAGGGAAGGAAGCACAATGACCTATGGTGGTGGAATATGGGTGAGCAGGTGGTGAGTGCACTGTGCTGGTAATACCTGATGGGGGTACCCCAATATTACCTCAGTTGAAAATAAATTATTAAAATATAAAATACAAGTATTAACTTTACTTTTAGAATCATGTGATGTCTTGAGTCTTCTAAAATAGCTTCTTTGGGTTTTGATTTTGTTGAATGTCAACTCATGATATTAACATAAATTTATTCATTTGCAAAGTTTAACCAAAAATGGCTGGCATTCTATGTTATAGAGCTGATCAGTTTTGTTTTGGAAAGAATGCCTAGAAGGAAGAGCAGTTCAGGTGACAATGTTTAAAATTCAAATTAACTCATTTGCTATTTAATTAGCTGTCTCAGATACAAAGAATCCTACACACAGACCACATCAAAGGGAACTATCTTTGTTCTCAGGCAGTGGCTTTTTTCTGCTCCAGCAGTCCTAGTGGAGAGAAAGAAAGGACACTCCCAGATCTGATTTCCAAATGGGTAGAAAAAAGTGGGAGTAAGTACTCTCTCCCTTCCCGCCCTCCAGCTTACATAGATTCTCTACTACTTAGACATTTTATTTCCTCCTTTCAAAGAGGGTTCCACATATTCAGTAAAAGACAAAGAATAAAAAAAGTTGGTTCATAAATTCTAAACAAGCTGGGATTTCAAGAATATCAAAAGGTCAGCTTGTGCTGTCCTGGAGAAATCCTACAGGGTAATATCACCTGTCCTCATTGTAGGGTAAGGAAAAATGTCAGGCTTTTCTGCCCTCCCGCCATCAGGACAGATGATGGATCCTTGCAGTCCTGAATGCATGTCTGATGGCGGGCACCTGGAATAGGGTGTGGGCATAGGTAGATGGGATTCACCTGGGCTAAGACTGTGCTTTTTAAGGGCGGCATCACGGGGACGCCAGCAGAAGCCAAGAAGCCGAGAACGAACAGAAGCCGAGAGAGAAGCAGAGAAGGCCGTAGAGCCCAGAGAGAGTGAAGACTTGCCTGCCAGCCTCCCAGCACCCCTGCCTGCCGTGTACCTGGTAATCCCAATAAAAGACCTGCAAAAAACCACTGAGGACTCTGTCTCCTCCTTTACCTGGTCTGCTGGATCAGAAAACCTGCTCAGTGGCCAGTCCTGACCATACACTCATCTAGGAGGCTAGGCAGCTGGTGAGCTCTCAGCTTCTGGAAGAATTGAGTCTATTAAAAATATCAACATTTATATTATGTGTTTCATTCCTTTCATCCTCAGAGTGCTTTGTAAACATTAAACCAATTAAGTGAAAGCAATTTGTGAATTAAGACATAGTTATAAACAAATGCCTGTCATTGGCAAGAAATACTTGTCCTTGTTTGTTTGTTTTATTACTAGGCTATGGGTGGCTTTTTAATTTTAATAGCTGTATCCAAGACACCAAGGCCACAGGAATGTAATGCCTCCTGGTAAAATCTCCCACTTGCTATTCTATAAAATGAATCCAACACCTCCTCCACAAACACACAAACAACAATTCATTTGATAAAGCAATCTGAAGAGGTTTAGTTGAAGAAACTAAGTCCTTAAAAATTAAAACCTTCTAAACTTTTTGGTCTCAATATCATGAGAAAAAAATAAAGTTAGGTTCTGTAGATAGATTATTATATTAATATATTAAATCAAACCCTAGAAATCTGTATAACTGAGGCTGGATGACATTACGAAGAGAAGGGGGATGAGGCCCATGGGAATATGGTGGAGGACTCTGGGTGTCTTGGTGGTAGTGTGGTAGTGTGGTGCGGTTCCATCCATCTGAAGAGATGTGAACTAAATCATATAGTTCACATATAGATGTGAACTAATCATAATGTTGTAGACCAACATTACTTCAATAAATATAATTTTAAAAAAGAAAAAAAATAGGATCACAAACCTCTCTTTATGTAATGCTAAGTAAGTTAACAGAACATTTTGTAAGGAAACTTCACACACATATGCAACTTTTTAAGAACTTGAATATTTTCCTGAAAAATTAAAAGATCACTATTCAAAAGTTACTCCTAATTTGTCAGGTTTCTAAGATTAAACATTTCTACTAAATAGGAAGAGAGCAAAAAAAGCAGACTGAGATTCAGTAGGTACTTCTTAGCTGCTCTCTGAAAAATCTGTTAAGAGTCTTACTACTACATTTAGACAGATTAGGTAACATACTTTTTTTTCCAAACAGCATGTGAAAATATTCAAGTAATCAAAGTATCCTGCTTACTTCTACTAGATAACAAAGTAAAATCCTTCAGGTGTAAGCTATATCCTGATTTGTGGGGTAAACCTGCATGAGCAACTAAATAATACCTGGAAATCTTAAGACATATCTACCTAATATTTGAAGCATTTAACTACATTTAATATTTATATCACTCTAATAGTGCAAAGGTGCACTTTTAATATTTTGAATTATAGAAAAATCAATGTAAGAAGATCCCACTGCACATGCCTGTTAGTAATACTTTTTCTTATACTAGAGACAAAAACACCATTTTAGTTTGAGAAGTGTTGACATCTTGAGTAGAATTTTACGTCTGAAAGATTTAAAGTGTACAATTTCCTCATTACATAATCGAAAAAAGTCCTGAAAGTTTAGGTCCAAGCAAATCCAAATAGCAACACTGTGATAGAAGTTACATACAATTACGCCACCCTACCAGACTGCTCACATCTAATTTGAGAAGCCTGCAAAACAGGTACTATTCCAGCATATTTTGCTATGATGGTACAGAAGTATTTGTACGTGAAAAGATTCTACTTGGCACTATGTCTTCCACGTTTAGTTTTGTAAAGTTGTTAAAGAAGGCATTGTTTGTCAGTACAGAATTTTCTCTTTGTTAGTTTCTGAAAGGTGCTGATTTTTTATTAGGGCTGAAGCTGTGTTTTGGCAATGACTTTCTTAGTCTCTGAAGAATATGTTTGTTACTTATGAACAGAGATTTCCTTTTTTTAAAAAAAATTGAGATAATGTTGGCTTACATTGTTGTTTGTATCCTGGGAGTACATGCCTACCCCCCTTCATTCCTTTCATGTGTTACCATAGTGCATCCACTACCAAAGCACCCAAGGTCCACCACCTTAGTCCACTGTGTTTGCCCTGCACCTTGTTCTTACCCATCCTGAATAGAAAGTCCTCCATCTATTATGTGTCATTGACTTTTTGGCAGTACATTAAAATCTATGGACCCTTCTCAAAGTTATACCTTTTTCGTTTTTGGAGCCACATTCAGGGACCTTAGTGACTTCAATGCCTTGAAGGCTCGTAAGTTGGCAGTACTATTGCCAGCTTTTTCTAATATTCTATAAACACATCTAGTATATTTATCGACTGGCTCTCAAAAATAACTCAAAATGCCTAAAATAAGTTAAATGTGATTATAAAGAAAATTAAGTTGAATTGTAATTATCAATATATTATAAACAAATTTGTGTTATAGTAGTAGATGTATTTATTTATGTATCAAAGTACAGATGTAATAGTTGCTATAATGTTCTAAGTTTTTTTTTAAGATTCATTTATTTTTTTTTACAAGAATTGGGTTACAGGTCAGAGGTGCAGGAGGGTGAGAGATTTCACCAGAGACAGAGCGGGGAGCAAAACAGGTAGATGGACCAAAGACACTGCTGAGGGGAGCAACAGGCGAGGCAGGAGAGGTCAACCACATCATGTGGGCATCTCCCTGGCCAGCCGGGAATTGAACCTGTGCTGCAGAGGCTGTGGACAGCTTCACAGCACTCACTCAACCGGCTGCCCCATTGGGGAGGCCATGTTCTAAGTTTTTATGAAGGTAAACAACCATTTAGGTATATATAGCAAAATGTAATGGAATATAAAAATATATAAGGTTTTTACTGGTAACATCAAGCACAGATATTTTATGATTTATTGCCTATTTATTAATCAGATGAAATGATAAGTTTATCTAGACACTGCTAAAATGAAAGGTGTAATTTTTCCCCACCAAAATAATGTACCCTTAAATTCTGACTTCACAAGCTTAAAGATTCAAAACCTCTTTCTGGAGGTTTTCATTTTAGATTATCCCATTGATTCAATTTTAATTCTTGCTCTTCGGGGTCTAATCTTTATCCTTGTGACTCAAGATATTTCTATATACTTCACAACTGAACACATTCTCTAGTTCAGTTTCTGGACAATCACTGAAGGTGACATCTTTGAACAATTGCTCATATGTAACAACATTGCAACAATTTTCTGCCAATCTTGTTAATATTGCAAGTTGCCAAAGACACTATTTTGCCTTTGTAGGAATGGCAACTTACTAACTAAAACTCTTTAATAATGACAGCAGCCAATAATGTCAGTAAGCTATAACAAGTTACAGTGATACATCAGAGCTGTCTGAATATCTTCAGCTTAATATAAATCTTCACATGTGGGCCTCTTATTGGTCTCTGTTTCCTAGGTTTGACAGAGATAACTAAAGCAACTACAATGCCAGGCTCTGTTCAAAGCAATTGGATCCTATGTCATCAGACACTCTTACCAGGAATATAGATTGGTAGATTATATTTGAATTAAAAGGATGCTTTTCCTCTCCAGGCTTCTTTATTCCTATGATGGTCATCTTCAAAAATGTGGTGTTTTTTGATGTTTGACTATTGTTGTTTATTATTATTATCTCATTTAGTTTTGTATTTGATGGCCCCAGCTCCTGGATGAGGGGAATGTAATAGAAATAGAATTATCTTGACACACGAAATCTGTTGCTGGCATTTAAATTTGTTTATCTTGTCTTTCCATGGAATCATGGAAATGTTTAATTTATTTTCTTATCTTTATTTATTTATTTATTTATTTATTTATACAAGCACTGGGTACAGTCAGAAGCGCGGGAGGGTGAGAGAATTCACCAGAGCCAGAGCAGGGAGCAGAGCAGGCAGAAAGACTGAAGTACACTGCTGAGGGGAGCAGCAGGCGGCAGGAGAGGTCTGCGTGCCATGTGGGACCCTCCTCTGGTGGCCGGGGAGCAGCAGGGGATCGAACCGGTGCTGCAGAGGCTGCAGGCAGCTTGGCAACCCAGCGCTCAACCACTGCGCCACCGGGGAGACCCTATTTTCTTATCTTTATGCTCACTTTATTTTTCCTCCATGACATTCAATCCAGAACACCCTTGCAATTAACATGTTTTTCAAGAAACTTGATCCTCCTGATTCAAATATATCTTTTTAAGGTAACATAATTTGTAGTGAAAGATTTTGGTCAGATTTATTTCTCAACAATTTTCTGTTTTTTTCCAGAGACAAAAATTTCTTTCACAAAATATTCATTATATAATTATATCAACAATGTTATTTGGAAATACCTTACAGATGAGAATGTATGTGTATAGGATGGCAGGCAGGCTCAATAGTAACCATGGAAACAATGAGAAGCCAGTAATAGTTTTCACAATGTAGACTGCCTACTCTGTGCAAGGGCTATGGATGTAGGGATTAAAACTGCAACTTTGATCAAGAAGTCAAAATCTAATTTTGAGTAAGCAGCCTATGATGGTGGAAAGAATTAATTTTGTGTTGATTCTATGTCAGGATATACCACAGACTGTTTGCATCATTTGGGTTATTTTGGGAATAGCATTATTTTTTTTTTCCATTTTGCAGATAAGACACATGAGTGTCAAAGAGGTAAACAACTTTCCTGAGAGTATGGTTCAAGTGTATGGTGGAACCATAATTCTAACTCAAAACTCTTAAGATTTAGAAGGTAGATGCTCTTTATTATGGCAAATAGTCCCTCTAGAAGACTGGTGAAGGTTTGACAGAATAGAGTTTTCTAGTTGGTTGTGAGGACTGGGAAGGCTTCGCTTGAACTGAGACATTCTCCTCTGCAGTACTATTGGTTGCTTTTTTGGGGGAGACATCTAAAGAAAGCTTTATTCTATATAAGGAAACATTATGCATGTAAGATGTGTTTTTACTTGTATATGTTACCAGTTTTTTAAGAGCTATATTCTGTAAGAATAAAAACAATAATGAAATTACTATGGCACAGTTAGACGTCAATTTGATTGAGCCACATGATGCACATTCATTCAAAGTCCACTGTAGCTGCTGCCTCAGTGGCATACCTACATGAATGCTGAAGAACATCAGCATTCTGAAAACTGATGATTTTTTAATTATGTTGAATTATGATTATTGCATTATGAACTATGACCTCGCTGTAAAAGCCAATGTATAACTACTAAAAAAAAAAAAAACTTATATAAAATATATTAGTAGGTGACTAGATATCCTTGTGAATATAAGATTTGTCCTACAGATGGAGTGAGAGAAAACTAATGAAAACCATCAGCATAGATGCATAAATATGAGCAGACTGAAAAACTTAGGGAAATCCAAAGTGGTGGTTTCATTTTGATGTTAAGAATTCATTTAACTCATTGTTCAAAAGAACAGAGATTTGTGACTAAATCCCAATAGTTGAGGCAAAAGTAAAAAGTATTCACTGAGAAAGAAGGGCATTAGAGACTACTCCTATTTGCTATGTGGACTTGAGATAATCAGATAAAATGATTACTTTTTCAGAACTTGTTTCTTTTGTATACAGAATATTTCCTCTTTCTTTATGTAAAGGAACAACCTTCCAATTCACTGAGATCTTTTGTCTGCAGAAGAATTGCTATGAAAGGAATCTAACAAAGAAAATAACATAACAAATGAAAGTGATATTATAATTTATATTTACTCAGATTTTTGTAAAGGGCTGATACCATGTTTCAGTCATTAAGTGAGTCTCCGCTCAGAAAAATTCCTGAGACAGAGTAAATATTAAGCAAACACCAAATATAAGAATAGGAGAAGGGGGCCTCCCCTGGTGGCGCAGGGGTTGAGCGCTGGGCTGCGAAGCAGCCCCCAACCTCTGCACCGCCGGTTCGATCCCCGGCTGCTGGCGAGGGTCCCACATGGCTTGGCAGACCTCTCCTGCCACGCCCGCCGCTCCCCTCAGCAGTGTATTTTGTCAGTCTGCCTGTTCTGCTCCCCGCTCTGGCTCTGGTGAATTCTCTCACCCTCCTGCACTTCTGACTGTACCCAGTGCTTGTATAAATAAATAAATCTTGAAAAAAAAAAAAAAGGAGAAGGCAGGGGAGAGTGAGGAGGGGAGAAAAGAAGGCAGGTGGCAGGGAAGGGAGAGAAGGGAAAGGAGAAAGGAAATCTCACAAATAAAGTCCTATCTGTCCTACAATATTTGGCAAGGCACATTGTAATATTATCATGTTGGGATCCACCATTTGAAAAATATTCTACTCATGAACATAGTATCAGTACACCATTACTGGTCAATGATAAGTTAAGAATCTGAATAAATCTATGATTACATTTCAGGCTAGAGCTAAGTCATAGAAGCATTTGGATTAAATCTCTTTAGCTTCACATGCTGTCCTAGAAGACACATTGAGGTTATTTATGAGAGGGAAAACCAGAGGAGAGAATTTATGGATTCCAAGTACAACAGACTTACTCTATCTCTAGCTGCAGGATGGTCTTCCAAAGGTCAGGACTGCCACAGACTTCAAAATTTAGAGAGTCAGGCCCACATGTAAACTAGAAGCCTACCTATCTTACTTTCATAACACCAGGTAAGTCCATTGTCAGTGCCTTATCAAATTATGTTTAGCTTTCTCTTCCACTTCTTTAAATTTTTATGACAAAATGGAGAACTCATAACTAAATCCATTCACAACAGCCATACTGAAAGATACTAAAATTTCGTTGAAATAATGGTTTCACACAATTTATTTTGAAATTACATAGTTTTTTGAATTGTTTTTTTGTTTTTATCTATACTAGTTTTGTGACTAGTATATATAAATATATTTATATATTTCAAACTTTCTTAAACCTGAAACAACACTTTGAACTTTTTCTTTTTACCTGTCCCATGCTGTGCCTTATCTCTGAGCACAAGACTCATATTCTTGGGTTATGTAGATTTGCAAAATAGCCAGTGTCTAAACATATCAGGTGACAGGAAAACAACAGTAAGACAAGTGATGTAAAGTATTCTACCAGTATTAACAATCAGAACTAAACTTTTGTGACAGAAAACATGAATTCTTATTTGGTCAATGACAAGCAAACTATTTGACTTGACGTTTGTATCTGCAAAACGTTGTGTTCCCTGTAGACTGTCCTTCATTTCAATGATCATATCCAATGTCTAATGAAAGCAAATTACAAGACCTCACTCTGATACCAGGACTTCTAACAGGAACAATTTTGACCAGTTTAGCAAAAGAACACTGACATCCTTTCCTACTAATAAAATTTTATTTAGTACCACTTATAAAAAAGTCTACTTACTAAGTCT